TATTTTAAATACCTTCCTGCTTCAAGCACCCAGAGTTGTTTCTGTTTTTCTAACTGAAGACGGCCTGAAATATCACATTTCCTAATTTATATAAACCTGTGGTCAAGTGTCCACTTAAGAAAAACACAGGTCTAGTTTAGATGATCAGTAACAGATCCCCAACGCATAAATTGTCAACTGATTTTAGCCCCCGAACTCACCCCTTTAAGGGACTTCTTTTTCTTCCCCTAGGTCTTGGAGAATTCTATACCAAGAATTATAATACAGAGGGATGTCTGGAGGATGGCTACATCCATACGTGTCCAAACAGTATTTTCAGATCCCTTTCACTTGATATTTCCCTTAGATTACTTGTATATATGTTTATGATTTTGTTAATTCACTTAAGGGCAAGGACTTTTTTGCTTGTTTGTTCCCTAGCACCGTGTAAATGTTCAAATACGTTGGCTAAATTAAGAGTAAACGTGTGGATTTCCGTTTGCCTTGTGGCTCACACACTTTGAATTCAAGTTCACTTCAGCTCACATGAGCAGACCGTCACGGCTCTGAGGCGCTCCACCTCGCTGAGCAGTTCCATTTTATTCCAGAAATTCTTTCCTCCCTGTATTGATGATGGGCTTACAGTTACACGTATCACAACTGCTTTAACCGCATAGATTTTAAATAGTCTCCCTAGTTGATCCTTATGTACGCTGAAATACACAATAAATGAAAACAGACCCCCTTTACTTGAAATCCCTACGCAGGGAGTAAAAGCCAAAGAATCCAAAGACTTAGGTTCTTTCCATGATTCAGACCTGGGAGGTGATGTATAGCATGGCAGAATTTTGGAATTGAAAAGGTCCTTAAGGATCATTTAAGCCCGTCTATTTAGGACATCAGCAATCCTATCTAGAAGTTCATAGATGGTTTAGGAAAGAACAGAAATCAGAACCCAGATATCTTGAATTTCAATCTAGTGCTTTCTTCAAAATGGTTGTTATTATATTTGTGTGTGTGCCAATCATACTGTGAACATGCACATGTGTTAGCACAGTTTTCTAACAAGTAGTAAAGTTCTAACAAAATTAATACACTAGATGATTTCCAACAGATGCACATAAAGTCCTTTGAGGACGGGATACCATTTTCTAATATGCACAAGGACGTAACATAGACTTGTGACAGACACCGCCCCCCACCTTTTTCTTCGGTATAACCTTCTGACTAATATAGAATATGCAGGCACTGATCTCAGTAACAAATACAATACAGATGCAGTTTATGAAAATTTGAATTATGTAAACTTGAAGTTGCTGATATAGAAAATTTTTTATAAAGTTGGTTGTATGAAATTGCAATTCTATAAAAATCTGGTAAGAACTGTAAATTCCAGAATTGGTTGACCTGGTAAAGTGCAAACCATGTTCATGGATCGGCATGCAGAGGTGTTGCATTGTACGTATAGAGCAATGTGATGACCCACCCTCTTATCCACCTGTACCGGAATCCCCACGTGATTTTAGTGACGGTTGTACTATCACTTGCACTATAAACCTTTAGTTCAGAAATTATATACAATAAAATTCTCTGAACCCTTAACCACCGCCATCGATAGTTGACCATCTGTTAATTTAGGAGGCAGCACACTCTAAAAGGCACTGGAGAGAATGCTATAAAAATAGATACAGCATTAGGGCCAAAAAAAAAACCTAAAATAAAATTCTACAGCAACAGCATCTCCCATCCTAATGTTATTTCTCTGTGAAGACTGGTCTTAACAGTATTTTAAATTATGTGACGTGTTTGGGAGAGCATCCCTCACAGAATGCAGCTTCCTTTAAAGTTGTTTTTTTTTTTCATGTCTTTAAGTGATTCTAACCTCAGCTCTTACACCTGAAAATATGTGAAGCTGGAGGGGGCCCTAGGGGTTTCCAATTAAATCTCACATTCAGTGGTTTGCCAAGGGAATGTAACTCACTGGTGAGCAACCCAGAAGTCAGATCTGCTTCTGTGCGTTCCAGATTCTTTTTAGGATGCAGTTAAGATGCATCACCGTGTAGAGTAGCGCTGTGGTTATTTTCACTCCTGGTTCTAACAAGGCTTCAGTTTATCAATAAGTCACCTTCATGAGTGTCTTCACGGAGTCTGCCTTCATTATGCCCAGTAAATCAACTAAAAGACGGCCATTCTTATTGCTCCCTACTCCCTGAATGATTAGGGGATGAATGAGCTAATAAGAACAAAACACTGTCAACCTCATGGAATTAGTCTACAAACACAGTGCGTGGCATGCCTTACGGTCTCTATGGGGCGGCACCAGCAGATGGACAGAGTTGCACGCCCAACCCCCCACCCCACCCCTGGCCTCCCGTGTCCCCCCCACTGCCCAGTGCCGCTACTGCTGACCCTGTCCTGCACCATCCAAATGTGAGCTCAGGTGCTGGTGAACCAGGGGCAATGGAATTTCTAAATTTTGATTATTAACATGTATAAAACACATTAAAGTGCTGATGGTGAGGGAAATTAGAGCTTTGTCGGAGGCTTATACACTTATTCTATAGCTTAGGGTTGTTTGTATTTGGAATTACACAAGTGGAGGCCTAATCATTTCAGTGCTTAGGGCTTCTAGAAGTCACATTAGGGCCTCAAGTCTACCACTTACTTTTAAAAAATTTCACCAAGAAATTTCTATTTATTTCCAAAAAATTCTTTCTTTCCAAGCAGTCTTCATGAAGGACCAAATTCTGCCACCAATGTAGATTAAGCAGAACACCTTGGGCAGCGCTACAAATCTGAGAAAAAAATTAAATCTTGTTTGATTAGGGAGTAGCCCATGCTTTGAGTCAAGGGCTGCTCTGAAAAGGTCTGACCTAAATTTTTAGAACCGTCATCTTGATGACTTGCAGATACACTTGAGATCCTAGGATCTGAAAAGGCATATTCTTCCTTTGTTTTTGTTTTTTGTTTTTTTTGGTTTTTTTCCAACTAAGAGGTGGGTTTGCTGTGTTCTGGTGGGTCCTGTGTTGGCTGGTACTTGTCATCTCCAAATATACATGACTTCTTTACTCTTGCACCAGTGATGAGATATGTGTGTGCATAAAGACAAAAGCTATCTATTTCCATCCTGAGTTTCCACTCTTGGATCCCCTCCAGACACCATTCTGACTGTGACACTCTGCTGCAGGGTACTAAAAATGGTGCTTTCCTCAAAATAAAACCTTTAAAGATCCCTTAGTAGCTATTCAGGGACTGGAATTCAATTTCAATTCTCCACCCTTCGGTCAGCTGTAGATTCCAAATGCTCACATAAAACACTGAGAGTATGTACTTCATGGCAAATCTGATTTTTCTCCTGCAATAGCTATGTGTGCCTTAGTTACCACAAACTATTTTTACTTAGAAAATACACAATAATGCATCTCAACAAGAGAAAATAGATTCTCTTTTTTATTTTATTTTATAGATAGCTTTGACATAAGCTTTAGATAGACCCACTTAACTACACAGTTTGTGAAATCTATACCTTCAAATCACAATATTCTCTATTTTAGGCCATTTTAGCTAAAAGCATGACTTCTCAAATCCTTTTATTACAAGTAGTTCTTGCACATAAATGTTACATCACAATAGCAAAAAATGTAAACTTCTTTTGCAAACTACATAAATACTATAATATCTGCTTTGAAGATATTCTTATTTTAAAATCAGAATACACTCTAAATGCTTTACATAGAAAACTCTGGTTAGTAGCCTCTGTGTATACAGTTTTTTTTCTTACTGACTTGCCTTTCATGTCGCCTTTGTAGGGGAAAAAATTTAAATAGAATCCAGATCAAAATTCAGTTCACAAAATAAGTACTGGAAGCATGCCAATAACTTTGGGCAAAATATGAAATGTGAAAATTATTCTATATACTAAATCTGACAAGCCACCAGTGGGATGGAGGGAACTGAACAGAAAGACCAGTTGGGCTCATGTTTGATCATATATGCAAGAACTTCAGCCTGCATGTCAATAACACCTTTTACCCCGCTGTGTGCTTGTTTCCAAATCAATCACGTCTTGCTGTTCTGGAGCACAACATTTCTGCAGCTGTAGTCCTAGATTGCAAAGTCTAGGTGGCCGGTGAATGTATTTCACCATCACTGTCCGTGATGTCTTCAAATACACATTTGAAATGTTTAAATATGCAGGTGTATTTATTCACCTATGCACGCTGAGAAGACCACATCGAAGTTTGTTTGTTTGGCTTCAAAAGGAGCTTTTTACGCTTATCTTTTTGTTATTACTTTTAAAGGAAATCTTTTTCCTCAGAATATTTTTCAGTTAAAAATCAAGTTTACTCTGGAGCCCTTGCTGATTTGTTGTTCTGAGATTCCTACCGTACACCGAGCTACTGGCCAAGGTTTGTTTGAGGAGAAAAACATCACCGCGGAAGCATTTTTTAAAAAAAACATTTCGAATGCATGCAGAAAGAACTACATAGGCTTTCCAAACAGCTACATAAAGTGGCTCAAGTAACATTTTAATTTATTTTGGCCTAAGCCCTTTGACAACATTCTTTGAGAACACAAAGAGAATGGCTACGAGATGGTGGCAGAGCCCAGAAGGCCCGGCCTGGTCGGCGGTGCTCCGAGGGGTTCCAGGACACCCAGCGGGAATCCAGTCTGCCTTCCCGCTTCCTGTGCATTTTCTCTAAATGCATTCTGCCCTCTCTTTCCTGCCCGTGCTTTTTAAACTACGTAAAACAATTAAAAATTTTTTTTCCAATAATTCATTCAGGCCTCAAATAACACTGTACGTGGGCTTTGCCGGGGACAGTAACCATTCCTGACGTGCCCCTCCCACCGGGGCGGGGCCGGCGGAGGAGCAGGCGCGGCTCAGGGGCCGTTCTTGCTGCAGACCGTGCCCGGGTTGGCGTTCTCCTCCGTGTACTGGCTGCCCGTGTCGCTCCGGCTGAGGACCATGGAGGGGATGCGGGAGGGGCGCCTCTCCGGGTGCTTCTCCTGAGAGAAGCAGCAGATCATCCTCTTCATGGTGCTGTACATGTCCTCGTCCTTGTAGGAGTAGATGATGGGGTTCATGACCGAGTTGAGCAGCGCCAGCAGCAGGAACCACCGTTTCACGTGCTGCACGTTGCACTGCGTGCAGTTCAGGCCGTCCAGCAGCAGAACCACCAGGCCCGGGGTCCAGCACACGACGAAGGCCCCTGGAGGGAGAGAGAGAGGAAGCAACAGGCGCTCAGACCTCAGGCTAATTATTTAGGTTTCTTCTCGTCCAGTCTTCGATCAGAGGCACCAAGGGACCTTAAGGCTTTGACTACTGCAAAGCCCACTTCCAGCCTTCCTCTGAGCACTGGAGACCTGGGCTTGTTGGAAGCAAACAGCGGAGAACCTCCCTGACCGTTAACCACGTGCCATTTCACCTTCTTGTCGGCTTACCCAGCTACCCTGATTAGGGGCTGACACTTACTTCTTTCTTACTGAGCACGACACGGACCTTGTCCCTGTCCGTTCTCTGAATCACACTAGCAGGCAGCTGCAGTCATCGGCCACATTTTGCAGGGTGAGGACTGAAGCTCAATTCCAGGGCATGTGTGGGGAGGCCTCACTCACTTAACCCTGCACGCTGCTGTTCTCTAAATCAGATTTTCCACATGCTCTCCTGAAAATAAGGCACATGGCGTCTGTGGGATGCTCCTAGTCTTGTAACTAAGTCACCTGCTCAAAAACTGTATTCTTCGTAAGTCCATGCTGATGCTTACTAAGCACTGTATTCTTTTTGACATATTCTTAATAATCTGCTCTAGACTGAGATATTTTTTCATCAGAAATAAAGCTTTCCCTTTCATGATGGGATAGAGACATGCTTGTGAATAGCACATTTATTTACGTAGCACAGTTTTAGCACCAATGGCACATGAAGGGGAGTCTCTTCTGAGATCGTAGCTAGCTTACTTCTAAACTTTCTGATATGTTTTTCCTAAAATACGAGACACGGGTTCAACAGTCCCTTACGTAGTCACCATAACATCAGATAACCATGACAGCTAACATGTGGGTGCTTTCCCTTATTAATTCATAGAACCCCATTATGAAGTAGGCATCACTGTCATTCTCAGGAAACTGAGACACAAGAGAACTTGCTTACAATCAAATAGCTTGTAAAGGACATCAAATTTTAAACCCAGGCAGCTTCTCCCCTAGGCTGCACACTTGGCCATTATGGAACCTATGATGTGGCTTTTTTCTCCCGAAGTCCAGGCCCAGGGTCCTTATCATTGCTAAATGCCCTTACTTATCCATTCAGCAAACAGTCACCGTGAGCTTACAATGCGCCAAGACTGTACTAGACAGTGAACAAGGGGAGGACCAGGCTGTCCGGGAGCCAAGGTGCTAATGGCAGAGACAGAATAAGCAAGTCTGTGAACTGTATCACCAACTAGTTGCTCTTCCTGGTTAGAGCCAAACCTGAACAGTATTCCTCTTTTTGTTTTATCTTCCTTCTGAGAGGTACAATAATAAGTAAGTCAAGAATTATAAAGAGGCAGTGTGAGGCCATGAAACTCCGTGAGCTCTGGGGTCAGACAGCTATGCCCCGCTGCTCACCTTATGAGCTCCCCTCTGAGCCTTCATTCCCTTATTCAGTAAGGATCATGATCCCAACTGTACAGGGTGGCTGTGAGGCTCAGAGGTAATGAAAAGTGGTACCCGACACTGTGTTGGGGTCACGAAGCAGTGGTCATCGTGAGATGCTTTGTCAAAGACGTCTGCCAAACGTAGGTTGCAGGAGTGCTCGGGGCATGTCATGCCCCATTTCATAACTGAAGCTCTCCAATGGCTCCTTCCCCCCCACATCCTGTATCATTTTTGGTTTGGCTAACATATATAAAAAATGAAGTGAACTTGGAGGTAAAAGATCAGATCTCTGGGTCCTAACTCTTCACTGACTGTACAGCTCTGGGAGATCCATGTCATCGGTCTGGACTTCAGCTTCCTAAACTGTAAATTGAGGACCTTAGGCACATTCTGGGTTTTTCAAATTGTGGGCCAGGATACCTTAGTGTGTATGCAATCAATTTAATGAGTTTGGAAAGGTATTTTTTTATAATGAAAGAATGGAAATGGAAATGGAATAGCTCAGAGTCTGTGAAACAGACTAAGGGAAGTATCGTCTCATGAAACTTTTGTTTCAGTTTTATATACTGTATGTATGTGTGCATTGGTTATAAAGTAAAATATTATTTCTGACTCTTAGGATTAGTCAAAAGTTTGAAAAACACCAGTTTAGATCATCTTTAAGGCCCCATCCAGCTCCAGTGGGCTGTATTTCCCATAACAGTAACACTTGTGTTCCCTCTGCTATTCCTGAGACAAGGTTGTTACGTGGTCCAGAGGGAAGAACTAAACAAAGCAGACATCAAAAGCTACCAACTTTGATGACAAGAGTCCTTTCTGTGTGCAATTGCAGAATTTCAAAGAAATCCCCGTGGGAGTGTTCCAAGGTTTTTGTGTTAATGGGTAGAAGGGAAAAATACTGATAAACTTTATACTTAAATATGCACATCCAAATTTAATAGTGTATATAACTTCCAAACCAGTGGAAGGGGAAGAAAGCAACAAAAGGAAAGAAGAAAAAAAGATCTCAATACAAAAATAAGGAGGGAGAAAAATGAAACATAGGAAAGTGGAGTAAAGAACAAAATATGATGCTGGAAATAAATTCAAATACAGCTGACCCTTCAGCAACACAAGGATTAGGGGTGCCAACCTCTGCTCAGAGGAAGATCTGTGTGTAACTTTATAGCCGGCCCTCGTACCTATGATTCCACCTCTGCAGACTCAGTCAACCTCACATCAGATTGTGTAGCACTGTAGTATGTATTTACTGAAAAAAATCTGCACATAAGTGGACCTGCTCAGTTCAAGACTCTGTTGTTCAAGGGTCAGCCACATGCCAATAATAAAAATCAATGTTAACTGTATAGTTAAAAAAAGTGAATCTAAATAATCTGATGTCTAACAGTACATCCATATGTGATAAAACCACGAGGAAAAGCGAGATGGTTAACATGAAATTTATGATATGGTTACCTCAATAGGAGAGAGAGGGCCATTGGGACAGGGCACGTGGGAGGGTCCAAAGACACTGATAATGTTCTCTTGAATCAGCTGGCAAGTACACATGTGTTTAAAATTTCTTTTTATTCTTTTAAGTGTTATTCTTGAAACTGTACATATATCTCATATAATTTTGTTTGAATGATCTATTTCATACACGCACATCAAAAAAAGAAGGCTAAAAATAAATTGCCAATACGTTTTCCTAAAGCCTGTTTTTAAAATGGGGTTTTCTTAATCATAAAAGCTTTTTCCCCCAGCATGAAACGCTAGTTTGGATTACTCAGGGGACCTAAACACTCTAAATGAATCTTCAAATTGATGCCCTGTTTGTCATAGTGTGGTAATTTGTATACATTTTCCATTTGCATTGAATTGCATAAAATAATTCATTCACTCAACACTTGACACGCTTCTCATTGAGCAATGATTATGTACCAGGCACTGTTCTAAGCATTTTATATGAATTAACTATTTAATCTTCATAGCAACCCTTGGAAATAGGTACTACTGTATATACACACATACTATATCCATATACTACCCTCATTTTAAACACCCTGAGGAAGCCGAACCACAGAGAAGTTGGTAATCTCAAAGCCATGCTGCTGACAAGTTGGAAGCAGCGGGATTTGAACCCAGGCAGCCTGGCACCAGAGCGTGTGCTCCTGTTCACATGCTAGGCTGTTCAGCAGGGAGCCACAAAGGATCTTATTCCTAAAGTAAGTGGTGGGGGGCGGGGGAGGGTACTTCTGGCCTTTAAAGTCCTGTTCATAGACTGTCATATCTGACTGTGAAACTGCATGTGTCACAGCTATATCATTCTTTGGTTTGCCAACAGAAGGATTTTCTGGGGAGGGAAGGAAGAGAGAGAGGGAGGGTGGGAGGGAAGGAGGAAAGAAAAGGAGAAAGAATTTCAACCAGAACATAGGCTGGCCGTCAGGTTAAGAACAACAAAAATCTGCTGACCTTTTCTTTATACTGTTTCCAAGAACAACAAAAGGCAAGTCTCTGACAGATAGAACAGCCCAAACACAGGGCGCTGTTGAACCGGAGAGCGGGAGCTTTAGCCGGCCGTCGAAGGCGATGACTGCACCCCAAGAGGTAATGCTGGGAAACGTGCAGCTCCGAGACTCCACCAGCGGCCAAGCTCTCCCTTCTAAGCACATCTCAGAGTGGAGACACAGTTTATCTAAACAGTTCATTCTTTGGGGGTTTTTTGGGGGTTTTTTTTGTTTTTTTGTTTTTTTTGTTTTTTTTTTTTTTGCTGTATGTCACCAGCAGCAGATATGAGATCACCAAAAACATTCAAAAGGGGAAGAAAATGTCAGGAACGGTTTGGGCCTTGGGAATCTGTCATCATGGAAAATTCTTGAAGAATGTGGGAGAAACATACACACGGGCAACTGTCCCAGTTCTTAAAAGGGGGGCAGATGCTAGGTCCTGGGAAATACATATCAGCCATTCCCTTATCAATTTCCATTAAATTCTAGAAGAAAAAACTAAGATGAATATTTTTTGAGTATTTAAACTCAATGCTCAGACCACAACAGCTGGGAACAAGCGAGGCTTTCAAAGAGACACCATGACAAACCCAAATCACTTTTGTTGTTGTCATCATTGTTCTAAATCGGGCATTAACAAGTAGGAGCAGATCTGAAGGGTCTATCTGGGAACCAGTGGAAGAAATCAGGAATGTTTCTCTTAGAGAAGAAAAGTCAAGGAAAAACACATCGTGTTAACCGTCTCCAAAGACCTGAAGGACCATCACACAGAAAAGGAAGCACAACTTACTTTGAAGGTCACCCTGAAACAAATGGAAAAGTACAAAAAGGCAGAGTTGGATGTAAGACTTCTTTGTAAGTAAATGAAACTATTTAGGAGAGGAATTCATTGTCCAGCAGACAGAGAGCCTCCCCTGGCCAGGGAATTTCCTTTGCCTGCATCATTTTGAGATGAACAAAGGGAAGGGATTCTTCCCAAATGAGAGAGAGAGAGAGTTAAGTGACTTCTAAACTTCTTTCCAAGTAGAAAATTGCTACAGTCTACAAACTATGAGTTTCAACTCCCCATAAAACTCAAATTCGAC